TGCAACACTATCCTCAAATGGTTCATATGATCATTCTCTCTCTTAGAGTATATCAAGATTTCTTCATTGAAGACAATCGCAAATAAATCAAGATAGCTACTAAAAATTTGATTCAAAAGGTCCATGAAATCCTCCGAGACATTTGTAAGACCAAAGGACATCACTAAGAATTCAAAATGACCATATCTAGTTCAAAATGCCATTTTTTGAATATTAATACCTCTCACTCTATGTTGGTGATAACCCAATCTCAAGTTAGTTTTTAAAAAGTCACTCCCTCTTTGGAGTTTGTCAAAAAAACTATCAATCCTAGGGAGTGGATACTTATTCTTTATAGTAACCTTGTTCAATTAGCGATAGTTAATACACATTCAAATTCCTATCTTTATTTTACATAAATAACACTAAGGCGCCTAACGGAGATATGCTTGGTTGAATAAAACCCTTATCTAGCAAATCCTTGAGTTGAGCCTTTAGTCCCTTGAACTCGGCTGGGTCTATACAGTAAGGAGGGATTGAGATGGATTTTTTATCTGACAATAAATCAATGCCAAAATCTATTTCCCATTTGGGAGGAATTATTGTATGCCTTTGGGAAAGACTTCAGGAAAATCCTTCACTACAGGGATAGACTCTAATGGAGGAGCCTCAGACTCAAGATCCTTGACTCCTACAACATGATAGAATCATCCCTTAGAAATCAAATAACAAGATTTAAGACATGAATTGATTCGACTTTTTGGATATATGTTTCCCCTTTCCATTAAGAAATGGGTTCATTAGGAAACTTAAACTTTACTAGTCGAGTTTTATAATCTATAAAAGCAAAATGAACATGCAACCAATCCATCCCCAAAATGATATCAAAGACCAATGTGTCAAGTTCTACCAAATCAACCAATGTGACTCTGTTGGTCAATGAGATCGCACAACCCTCATAAACTCTTTTAGCCACTACGGAATCACCAACTAGGGTAGAAACCTAAAAGGTTTCATCCAATACATTAGGAAGCACATCAAATTTCATATCCACTAAAGGAATTATAAAAGACCAAGTGGCATCCGGATCCAACAATGCATAAATATTAATTGAAAATATGAGCAACATACCAGTAACAACATTTGAAGATCTCTTTTGATCACCTCTGGAGTGGAGAGCATAAAAGCTCTTTTTATTAAGCGCATCAGGATTGGGAGCACTTGTTTGTGCTTGAGCACTTTCCCTTCCTTGAGCCTTCAACATCGGACAATCCTTCTTCATGTGGCAACTCTCACCACAATTATGGCAATTACTCATGTCAACTAGGTACTTGACTTCATGTTTTCTACCACACTTTGCAAAAATAGGCTTCTCAATATAAGGACCACCATCTTTTCCCTCTTGAGACTTGGAGGTAAATACTTTACCTATGTTTACCCTTCGATTGTTGGGAAGACCTTGGTTGGAAAACCTTTTCTTGAATGTTAGATTATCTTAGAACGCAAATCTAACCTTGGAAGAATTTTCATTTTCATCCCCTGTCCTCTTCAACTCTCTGCCAACTTGCTTAAGTTTTTGCTCCTCAGTTTATTCGGCATGAAACATGAGACAACAGATATTCATGCTAGGATTCAACATAGCCAACCAACATTTATTAACCACGAGGTCGGATATCCCCATAACAAATTTGTTCATTTTAGCCCTAGAATCCTCTACCATAGTAGGAGCATGTTTGGATATTTAAGTGAATTTGAGGCTATAATCCTTCACACTCATTCCCCCTTCAAGAAGGTTGATGAATATTACATTTTGCTGTCCCTTAATTCAAAGGGGAAGAACTTATCAACGAAAGTCCTCTTGAATGAAGCCCAACTAACAGAACCTTCTCTAATGGGTATCTCCTCCTTCCATTGTTCATACAAAACTTTTGATACATCTTTAGGTTTATAGGCGACTTGTTCTGCCTTTTGTTGAAAAGACACCATAGCATCTATCACCTTGAACACTTCATCACTGAACCCCTACATGTCCTCCTCTATTTTTAAGCCAAAGAAAGCAGAGAGATTCATCCTTGTGAAACCCCTAATCCTTGAAGGGGTAGTGTTAACATTGAGTACTTGCACCTTACCATCATAGCAACTTGAGTGGCTAACATTTGAGTCAAGCTATGAATAGTCGCCCTTATCGCAACATTGGATATAGCCCCTTCTTTTATAGGAACTTGAGGGTTTTGAGGAGCTTGAGGGGGAACCTCCTCATTCACATTCTCCTGCCCGACACTCCTAGAATTAGTCCTTCTTGTGTTCATTGTTCATAAGCACCAGAAAAGGATTAGAAGAAAGGACTAGATAGAGTCAACACTCTTAGGCACGACTAATGAATGTCAAAAGAGTGAAAATTCCAAAGCATCTCATAGCCTCTAATTCAGAAGTGGTGCACGCTCCACACCCATAAAAAAGACACTACTTGATGTGGTATTTTATGACATCAATCCTACATTATTCTCAACCTTATGTTCTGATACCAAGTTTGTAACGACCGGGGAGCACCCCCTAGTCGTAACCGGTGTCCTTGTCCTCGAAAAGGACTTAGACAAGCCCTTAACATTCGTCAAAGCACGCATCATAGAATAAAAATACATAAATATTGAAACTTTTACTTTGGAATCTCATCTTCGCTCCCCTATGAAAATAGAATCTACATTTGTCACAACATACCATCTAAACATAGAAGTATAGAAATTTGGACTTAGACCTTTGTCTAGAAATAGGAAATACAATAATGTCTTCCAACATAAGCAAAGAACTAAAAGCTAGAACGTAAGGGTTTTGTCCTCGGATTTGAGGACTCACCAACTTGGTGAAGCAAGTTCCAAGTATCCTTGAAAAGTGACCTTGATTCCTCAATGGCTCGAACATATATCATTTGGGAAAAAGCAAATAAAATATGGGTTAGTACATCACACATACTAAGTATGACTTTTATGCATAAAAATCATCAATATATGTATAAAAGGACATTTTAGTCAGAACATGCTTTTTACCAAGTATATCCAATACACACATAAAGTAAGAATCATAAGCCAACCAAACATGTAGACAACCCAAGCAACATTTGTCCAATGCAAAGAATAGAATCTTATAACCCTATCGAAAGCTAAGTATTACATTAAGCAACCCACTTCATACATACATTCATGATCTCATATTTCATCAAAACTTGCTATATTCATAAAGACCATACATAGCTTAAAACACATGAGTCACAATAAACGTAATCACAAAACAACACTACTAGAACCATCCCTTAGGATCTCACAAGTGTATTGTGTAAGATAACTCTCATACCCTCCCTCATACTATGTAGAAACACCTCAAGAAAATCCTAGTGAGAGTCCCTACATTTCCTTTATTCATTTAGTCTTACATTCGGAAAAGAGGTTGCAATAACCTAAATTAGACAATGTTAACTACATAGAATCAAGTGTTCTACTCACACACCGCAAAGAGAGGGTTAACATTTGCCTAAGGTGTAATCATATTTACATAGCTATCTAGGTGGTTCCACTAAGCTAGAGTCCTATGTGGGCATATAGTTAAGGGTCAAGGAAATTGTTGCTAGAAAATTGACTTGCTAAATGTGGGGGTATCCATCTCATTAAAAAGCACATATCTTGGGGAATTCAGACTTGCTAAACGTGAGGATTCAGACTTGCTAAACGTGAGACCCCCGTATCATTTACATGCCCCTTTCGCTGTTAAGCATCTATTCCCTTTAGTAATCATCTTTAGTCATTAAATAAGTTCACATTAGCCTTTACTATAACCTTATTTAAAAATCTTATCATAATAGATCATAGGGGATTATAAGTGAGAACAATGCTTTCATTTTATAAACATTAGCAAGTGAGTAAACCTTTCACTTTAACAATTCATTATAATCATGAGAATTACATTTCAATCATATAACCATCATACAATAATATACATTCATACTTCACAGGTAATTCAAGTGTATAGGGATGAGGATGAGGGGACCTTGTCATCAATACCACAACAGCATAGTGGCTACAATATCATTACTATTTAAGTAACCCATCTTTCATAATTGAGTCCAACGAAGAACAAAAAATCATACCTTCTTGCCATTCATGGTACATCATGATCCAAGAACCCAGAATGAATAACCAATACATAAAACAAGGTAACTCATGAATCAACAATATAACTAACATCAATATTGACAATTGACATATTCATCAGCTTCAACAATTCACCAATCAATTCAAGGTTTTTATGAAATTGGGGAAGAATATGGGTCCAAGGGAATCTCAAATGAAAAACAATATTTAACCATCATGACATACTTAAACTATATTAAAATGATCATCATTCATCATAAATTGATCCATAATTTGGTTGTTCAAAGAAGACCCATGTGTTAAGAAAACCCTTGATTTGGGGAAGTATGAAAACACCTTTGGAGGGACATCTTAGGGAAATGAATCCCATTAGTGAAAGAAACCATACCTCAATGAACACTTAAACCATGAATTTGAGTAGAAAATGTGGAGAATTGGTCTTCTACTTTAAGCTCCAATGTTCTTCAATGGAGTCTTTGTGCAGTGAGAGAATATAGAGTGAAGTGGGAGCCTTTGGGTGTCACGACCCAAATCCGGGCCGCGACTGACACCCACACTTACCCTCCTATGTGAGCGAACCAACCAATCTAAACCTTAACATTTCAATGTAATAACAACAGAAAGTAATGCGGAAGACTTAAACTCATTAATAAAAACAAATTCAATAACTATCAATATTCAACATCTATTATTCCCAAAACCTGGAAGTCATCATCACAAGAACATCTACTTTAAACTACTAATTCTAAGAGTTTCTAAAAAGCTAAAAATACATAAGAAGCTAGTCCATGCCGGAAGTTCAAGGCATCAAGACATGAAGGAGAAGGTCCAGTCCAAGCTAGAAGCGTTAGCTCACCTTGAAGATCCGGTGTGACGAAGACTGGCTTGAGTTACTGTTGAGTCGAAGATGACGGCACGTTTGCTGCACTCCACAAATAACAAGAAGAAAAACATAAAAGTAGGGGTCAGTACAAACCATGGGTACTGAGTAGATATCATCGGCCAACTCAAAATAGGGAACAGTATATATCAAATATTATCGTAAATCAACTATAAAACTCAACATGTAACAACAACAAGTACTATAATCATCAATAAGTACCATCAAGTTCATCCATGAGGGCTCAAGCCTCAACACCATACTCATTTGGGAATTAAGTTTATTAAGTTGAGTATATTATCAACTTTCAAGATTCATTTTCTTTCCTCCTCTTGTGTCGGTACGTGACACTCCGATCCCCCACCACTATGTGTCGGTACGTGACACTCCGATCCCCTAATTCTATGTGTCGGAACGTGACACTCCGATCCCCTACATGTGTCGGTACGTCACACTCCGATCCCCTACATGTGTCGGAACGTGACACTCTGATCCCCTACATGTGTCGGAACGTGACACTCCAATCCCCTACATATGTCGGTACGTGACACTCCGATCCACTAATACTATGTGTCAGAATGTGACACTCCGATCCACTAATACTATGTGTCGGAACGTGACACTCCGATCCACTAATACTATGTGTCGGAACGTGACACTCCGATCCACTAATACTATGTGTCGGAACGTGACACTCCGATCCACTAATACTATGTGTCGGTACGTGACACTCCGATCCACTAATATCATTCTGTAAATCATCAGGCCTTCTCTATTCCAAGGCATCATCAATCCCATTACTTTAATTCATCAAGCCTTCTTCTATACCAAGGCATCATCAATCCCATTAATAATGTATATTAAAGTTTCTTTTCAAGATTTGGGATTCAATATTTTCATCATGTTATCTTATCACAATCACATAATCATATTCATGCAAACATACAATTAAGCATATAGTAGGGTTTACAATACTACCAATACATATCATTCTCTATTAAGAGTTTACTATGAAAGCATGAAAACCATAACCTACCTCCACCGAAGAATTGAAATCAAGCAAGTTAATCCTCAAATCTTGGTGTTTTTCCTCTTCTTCTCGATCGTTTCTCTCTCTCCCTTCTTGTTCTTTCTATTTTCTTATTCAAACCCTCTTTCTTTTACCCTAATTAGTATATAATTAAGAATAAAAGATGGCAATAATACCCCACTAATTAACTTAGGGTTACCTCCTTTAACCCCCAAGAATTTGAGTTATTAATATAAATCCACGAAATCTTAAATTAAGGAAAGAATAGTCCCAAAATGTCCCTTAAAACGTTTAAGGAAATCCGATTCTGCCTGGGATTTGTGCAACCTGTGACGGGCCGTCGTGCCTGCGACGGTCCATCCTGCACGTCGTCGCAAGGTTCAGAGACCCAATATTTCCACCAAGGGTCTGTGACGGTCCGTCCTGCCATTCCGTCACAAAGTTCAGAGAGTCGATTTTCAGTACCCAATTTCAGATTTTCTAAGTGTTTTGAAATGAGAACCTGCGACGGTCCGTCGTGCCCATGACGTTCCATCGTGGGGTCCGTCGCTTCTGCCAGTTTTTCCAGAATTGAAGTCTGTTGCTCAAAACGACTAAACGGGTCGTTACATTGGGGTTTCAGGATTATGAGGTGGAAAGACTTGTTTTATGTGTTAAGATCCTTTAATATACCTAAAATAACTAATTAAAACTGTCCCTTTATTTAAATGGCCAAGAGTGGAATTTACAAAACCACCTTTGGCTTGGCCTTGTCTTGGACTAATGTGCAGGCCCAATTGACTCCCATACGACTCTCTAAACCCCTTGAAGGACCTAAAGGCACACAAAATCATCTTTTTACTAGTTTCCAAACATCATGCTTGTTTCTTGGCGTCTAGGCTACTTCAAAACCAACTTAGTTATATAAATATAGGTCTGGAAACATTACTTTAACTCTTTTTAACTCACTATTCATTATACAAGGCTCTAGCCTTGTTCATAGAATTTCTGGGGCGTTATAACACTTGAGAAGAAATATAAGACAGAAGATAATTGCTTGAAAAAGTTTGTGGTCGCAAAGCTTTTAGACTATAAAATGGTAGATAGAAAAGTTGTTGGATCACAAGTGAAGGAAATTCAAATTATTTTCCATGATTTGATTATTGAAGATATGGTAATATCACATACCATATAACGAAGTACCGGCCATGGCATGCTTCACCGACCGTGATTCACATGAAGGATCGTCAAATCATTTTGAAGCTTCACGACATTTCAATCCTAATTCTAATAGAACTCCTTTTAGACATACTATTTAAATTAATTAGGATGTAATCATTAATTATCTCATGATATACGGAACAAAAAACTACTTTCTAAATATTATCTACTTTGGTTTTTAATCAAATTAACATTGAATTGAGAATTAAATTTTTCTTTGGTTTTTGAATATCAAGTGTTCTTTGAATCTACAAATTGTTGAAATGATTTTTCTTAATGTAGTCGTTACTTTTATTTGCTTATTTCATTGAAAGCATGTGTAGCTAAGCACTACAACTACGGTTGTGGGAGCTATGACTGAAATCTAAGTGTAGATTCGTAAAATGAGTAGAATGCATATCATATAAGCAATATACATATCACTTTTTGCTATTCAGTTGTTATAATGAGTGCACACATTGTAAAGTTCCTATATATATATCAATTGTTCGTGAGAAATTCATAGTTAGGGAAAAGTTGAGTTGAACAGTTGAAGTGGAGTGAAGGTTCAAGAGAAGAGAGAAGAGCAGTTTTACACTAGACTATATGAGGGTAAAATCTATTAACACTCTAAGACTGAGAACATTCGACTTGAAAGTTATCTAAAAAGACTAAGAAGTCTTAGATATACCTAACTCGCTTGTAATTTGCATAGGTAATTATTACCTGAAACTCGTTCATGAATAAACACTAGATGTAACGTCATAGGAAGCACAACCCTAGTTTTATTCATTAATCATTACAACATTGATTTTAACATTCTATTTATTCTGTTACTCTTAATATTTTAGGAATATTGGTTAATTGAACCTGACAACCAAACCCATTTTACGTTTCGTCATTGCTTTCTCTAGGAAATAATAACAGTATTTTGATAAAGGCTAGAGTGAAACTATTTGTGTAAAGAAATTCTCTGCGGGATCAACCTCAACTCACATTGAGTTCAATAACTTGACTTTGACCGATTATACTTATTAATGTAAGTAAAAGTTTGGCTGTATCACTAATCTGGGCCATAGAGGATCGATTAATTTAATCTCTTGCTATGTAAGACCCAATTAAGGGGAAATGTCTCATTCACATGATACTTGAAGGTGCAAAATAAAAATATTTGAGTTATTAGAGGTGAAGTGGTCATATTCATCTCACGATAACCCCTATGATAAACTCATAGTGATTAAGAGTAATTGTTCTTCATTAAAGCTATAACTTGTTTATACAATTCCATAACTACAATAAAAAAAATCCATAATGTTAGTTCTCCAAAAAACCTACTGTTTTATCGTGTTATACCCATTGAAATATAATACAATTATTCCATAATAAATTAATCAAACTAGGGTAGATTGTATTGATCTAACATCTATACGTGATTCTATAAAATGTAGTATTTCAAATGTTGGACAAATCATTTACCTTACCAAAATATTTCTTTTTTCAATATATTGTACTGAATTGTTGTATCAATGTTATATTTATTGTACAAGATTTTGATTTATTTAAACAAACTTCCGAAGTGATGTATTACGTACCTACTCTCAATTAACAATTACAAAAACTTAATTTTAAACATACCAAACCAAATATTAAGCATTCACCCCTTCAAGACTCATATATTAATTATATTAACAAAAAAATATAAATAAGTTTTACATATACCTAACTCAATGAACCATAATGTTGGTTACACTTTTCAAACAACAAATAAGTAAGCCTTTCACCTAAGCTATCAGGACCCTTCCAATTTACAGTAAATAAGATAAACTTGTATAGAGTTTTTTTGTTAATAACCTGACACAGTGCAATGACGAATTAACCTACGAGAAAACATTATGAAGGGTCATTTTTGTAATTTTAACTCTAAGAAAACCCTAGAAAAATTTCATGACTAATTAAAGGCCCAAACCAATTAGATTTTCTTCTTTTAATCCAACATTCTCTTCTCTCTCAAACCCTAAGGTAAAATCCCAAGGAGTACTAGATTTTCATTCAATGTGCTTTAAATCTTTTTCAAGATTCTTCTTCAAGGTATGTCCTTCTCAGAAAATTCCTTTTTATACAACTCATATTCCTCCATACAATTATTAATCAATAATTAAAACAATAATTTTTTTACTATAGAGTTTTCTGGAAAAAAAACTAAGGATCTCCAGAAAGAGTTTTCTAGATTTTTCTACTTCAAGTTAAAGTTTCAAGGATTCTAATCATGTTTTTCTTCAAGATTTTTCAAGTGTTTCACTAGTTCATCCTTACACACTACAACACGAACCTTTTTGTGTGTTATAAATCTTGAGAAGCTTTCTAAAGCCAACACTTATGTTTTAAACTGAGTATTGAGAAAGTAAAGATGCATTTTGAAATTTAGTTTTTAAAACATAATTAATATGAAAGTCGAATGTGCCATGCATGTTTAAGCAGTATAGTATCTTGATATTCCATCAGTGTTTAGGTTGTATGAATTCCCGAATCATCAATAATTATATCACAGAATGATTTTGATATATTTTGAGAAAGAGTTTTAAAATATAAATTTAGTAAGTGTATAAGGGAACTATGTATGTGTTTTTACATAGACAAGAGAACTTTTTTCATTTCTAATTGAGCTAATAAGTTAAGAGATATTTCAGAGAAGTTACCTTTTTGACCACATAGTTTGAGAAACTATCTCAAACAAGAGGATGAGTATTTTGTAAACATTGAACATGGGTATATATTATTGGGAGTAGTATGGAGCAGTGATATAGGATAAGCTTATACAACTCATATTTCTCATAATATATGTATGCCAACATGGGTACATGATCATACTTTTTAGATAAGTACTTATTGCTTAGTGGATCCACTTAGTTGATGTGTCCTAGATCCTGGTAATGTATACTATATTTATGGTAGCGTTGGGGAGACGATATATCATCATGTAGCTCATAGTGATGGTTTTCAGTTACAGAATCTACCAATAGAATTAAAGTGTATTTTTTGTATCACTTATTATGGTGAGTTCTATGTTGAGAAAATATTCATTAATGTTTTAAATTATTTTATTTCCATTATTTTTTTTACATTCAGTTTGAGTATATTGTTATGTGTTCCAGTCCTTTTTAACCTATTTCGTATTCAACTATATTACACACTCGTACATTCAATGTACAGATTTCATTTTGGTTGCATCTTTTAATGATTCTGATACAGATTCTTAGGATCCTCAACAATAGTCTATTGAGATCACTTAATCTGCTCGCCAACTTTTGAGTAAGACGACCTTGCTTCTGCACTCTACTTTTATGAGTTGTTAGTAGCAATCTTCTTGAGGAGACCTGGGTCTTGTTTGGACACTCATGTATAGTAATGGATTCATCAAAAGATCGTCTTTCAGAGTATTTATTTTTTCAGAGGTTTTATTTGAAACACAAATTTAATACTTAGTATATTCAAAGAGTTTTGAGATATAATCAAATTTTTACTTAGCGTTTCTTCAAGTTTGACATTTATGTATGTTCGAGTTATTCTTCAACCTATAATCATATTAGATAAGGAGCATTTAATGTTCTCGGCTGTGAGTAATTAATGAAGTTTCCTCTCTTAAGATCAATGTCTTTCCAACTAGCATTGAAAGCTTCTAGCAGTATGATAACAACATTGTCCACTCCTCTTAGAGACAAAAGAGTCATAAATCTTCCATGAGCATCAAACTTCCTTGTACTAAAATACTCTACTAGTTGGTCCTTCATACTAGATTTCCTAAAAAAATTCTTGTTGTCATCTGATGCTTCTTTGAGGACAAAACAAATCCACTCCATCACTTTTTTCTGAGAGTTATTCTTCTCGTCATATTTCTATTTCTCCATCCAATCAAACCAGACCTCCTCACCAGATGTCCATATGGGTAAATATTGACTGACTTGGAACCGACATGTAAGAAAATCCTATTTTCCCCATGTCTGTGGAAGGGAACTGAGGTGAAGGATGGGTGAAAGCTATCACAGATGAGGTAGCTGCGGTTGTTTGAAGTGTCTTAATTACTAAGCTACTTCTTTTGGGGATTAGAGCTATTAAAGCTTCATTAAAGTTCCTTAAAATACACCTTCATGACGAAAATTCCTAAATGCTTCCATAATATTCTGCTTTAAAATTTCCCAACAGGTGAGACCCTGGGGCTTTATGTCCTACACATAACTTTAAGCATTATAAGAACTCCTACTTTCACAAGCTGGTTTTCAATGCATCCTTTTCTTCCCCTAAAATTGTAGTTGATAAAAGAAAAATGGTTCTTATGTATCGGCCACGTCCAGGGTGTAGGCTCTAGTTGTGACATGTGTTCAAAAATTCAAGCCCAGAAGCTTTGAAATACATGACTTAGTTTTACCATACTTATGTCTACAAAATCTTAAGTTCAGTTTCAAAATATTATGTCTTCAAAGAAATTTTATTTCACTATCTTTGAATTACCAAAAATATGTTGATACAATTTTAACTTCAGTTATAGAACCCAAAAACTTATACCTTAAACGAGACACTTATTCATGTACAATTTTTGTAGGATAGGACAAAAGTTCACTTGTTGAGAGATTTGTGCTAGTAATTTTCCTATGTAACTATTTGCATGATGGCAAAAAACATGTGAGAATCTTGCCCACTCAGCGTTCTTCCACGGTATAAATATAAAATCATAGCTGAACCGAGTTTAATTTGTTTTATCGCACATTTAAATCAACTTCCACCTTGTCTTGGATTTTAAGTCAAATAATTGTTTTATTCCAGTGTCACATGAAAATCTCTCTTAAACCACCTTGTTTATGAGTCCCACACTCCACACTACCTACCCATTGCCATCTCTAACAATGATTTTTGTTTTAGTTCTAATATGTTTATGAATGAGAGAGATTTTATGAGAACTAGATCCACCCTAAGATTATAAAAATAGGTTCGGGCCAGTAGACTATTTACAGCTAGTGAATAAGTACAAGATGTAGCAATGGAGAGAATCCTATAAGGACTCTCTTTAAGGAACCCAAAAAGTGAATCTCAGTAATAAGACTGTCTCAAAAAGTGAAAGTCAAGTAAAAATGTAAATACGAAATTGAGATGAGAAATCCTAGAAAATCATGTGCTCACCCTCGTCCCTAGAACAAATTATTGCAGATCGACCAAAACACTGATAGTTATTGGTAGAAAAGTGAAAACAGATGGAAAATATAGAATCAAACACGAACAAAGGTCAACAAAAATAAGAGTAGAATAGTCAGAGAGCTAGTGTAAGGTTATAAAATCATAACCTAGCTACCCCCCCCCCCCAGTCAAAAAACATACTAGGTACACTCAAGCACAAAAACAAGAACCAGAATAGACTCACATAAGCGCGATAGGTACACAGAGAAGGTAAATTACGGAACCAAATGAAAACCCAACTACTAACTCACACAACCAACAACTTAAACCCACTCTACAATTTTGACTTCCATATCGGACCACCCAGCCCGCCAACAACTATGGGGAATTACTTCGTCAAGCGAGTGTAACGTGAGGGTATATTAGTCCCCTCAAAAATCCCTAATCTAACAACCAAATAGGCTATCAATTTTTGGGCCCTTCCCAAGATAGAAAACTATACCGTATACCACTACACTGAGCCCTTCCCTAGCTAGAAAGAGTGTGCAAAATTGTAGCGCAAAAGAGGACCTAAAGTAATTTATACCCTAGTACCCAACCGATTAATCACATAGAGGCCCTTCCCAATGCCAGCAAGGTAAGTCATTTACAACACTCAAGGGACCTACCCACTGCAAGCCAAAATGTGCGGGTAAAATCAACTCCGTAGCGGATCTCAAATTCCAAGATATCATAGATCGACGTCCACTAAACCACATGCAAAATAGGTGAATGAGTTCCAAGCCAACATCGATCAACATACACTACAAAGTACCTCATACCGGAATCGACCGCGTAACTCCCCAACAAAGCAAAAACTATGCCTCCGATAAAGCATCAGTATCATAAAAATAATAAGAGAAGCCAAAAGGACCACAAGCAATAAAAAGCCTAAAACTAGACTCAACTGTCAGACACAAGTCTGCTAAGCTTATCAACAATGATCTTGTCCTTCCACATCGATGTCGGGTACACAAAAAGTCAACTAGGTGCATGGGTTTATGGCAACTAGTCTGTACAAAAAAAAGGGAAAAGATAAATTCCAAAATAAATACACATCCAACTAGATGCTATGCCTGCAACGACAGATAAACAACAGATAGGTAATTCACAAATACCAACAGATAAACAACCCGTCAGTTAGCATGGTACTAACCTCAAAATGGCCTGAAAATAAACCTGCAACATGGTTTATGAGAAGTAGAGAAGAAATACTATCCGAACACCCAGATTAATACAATAATATAACCAACCACAATCTAAAGGATGGGAAGTCGGAGCCTACTTGTAGGCCAACTGCACACACTCCAAATGACTCTGCCGGAGCATTTCCTTTCTGAATGACCTTTGATTGTTGCCACACTATCAAAAATAGAATCACATGATTAACACAGTTTGTTACACACTAAAATCATAAAAATTTGAGATAGACTAATTTCTTTGTCAAAACAAGGAAATGTCATTCCCACCCAATAATTTACTCCTTGAAGAGGTCCTAAACCCTTCTTCAAGCTTGTATCCGTAAATGGAGCACCTCTCAAAGGTCAGAACAGCTGCATGAAACAACAAAAAATGCAAAACTTTACACAAAAAAGACTTGGGGATGACACTTATAACTGGGCTAAGCTCGAATCACCTCCCAAATCTCATCTCCCTTTATGAGAGATACTTGGAGGAATACTCGGTCATCAACGAGAAATATTAGTGGTCAACGCCTGAGATCCGCATAACTCTAATGTCTACTTTGAGCCATCTTGAGCCTATCTTAAATTGACCTCAAATGAACTAAGACCTCTTGAAACAAGGTTTTTTTCACATAACCTTGGCTCCATAGACTCAAAGCAACTAACTCAAATGCGGCAGAGCATACTATACAAGGCCTTAAAATGGGGCACTTTACAAACTAGAATGGTAGTTATTGTTGTAGGCAAACTCAACCAAAGGCAACAACTGGTCGACCGACCTCCAAAGTCCATACAAGCCCACAACATATTTTTATGAACATGAATAGATTAATCATCAAATACATAAATGCATCAAGGCATTAGTAAAAGAAAATAACATAACGAGGAACACAAAATGGCCAACATAAGTCCTTAATGTTGACTGGGGAATATTTGCTACTATAATCCTCAACTAATGGTAGTTAGATTTCAAGTCAATCCTACATAACATTGTGGCTCCGTAATGCTATCGAATATATCATTAATATGAGGGATAGGATAATATTTCTTCACTGTCACCTTATCCTAATGCCTATAACTAATACATATCCACATAGTACCGTACTTCTTCTCACAAATAGGATAGAACACCCAAATATAATACACTAGGCTGAATGAATTCCATACCCAAGAGATCCTGAAACTGAAAATTAAGCTCCTTCCATTTTGCGAGTCCATATGGTACGATGGGATAGAAATAGTACGGGTACTTGACTCCAACTTAATGCCAAAATAAATATTCCTCTATGGGGGTAGGCAAGGAAAGTAAGCGAGAAAAACATCTGCGAACTCTCATACAACATACATTGGATAAACTGTAACGACCTCCCTACTAACATATCTAACATAAGCCCAATATTCCCAACACTCTATCCATAAGCCGTTGAGCCCTATACATAAGAAATTACCCCAACAGGTGTATGACTACAATAACCTTACCACATCACTAGAGGAATACGAAGCATGGCTAAAGTTACAATCTTGGTGTAGTAACCCAAGACCACTCGACGAGTGGATAACCAATCAATGCCCAAGGTCAAAGAATTATCAATCATACTAAGTATAATAAGGTGCATCGTGATATTCTACCACTGAATAGTCAACACAGAAGATCTAAAAATATGATCCACTACTAAAGCATCCCTTACTAGGTAGAAAGACGTAATGATGCCAATAAGGGTCAAGTTTACCCCCAACGAAGGATCACAAGAAGCAGAAACATACAAATAAGTATAACCATGATTAAAATTAGGATGAAGTGGACTGACGAAATAAGAGAATTTTACCTATGATCACATTTTTTAATACCTTGGCCTCTACACTAGGTCGAGCTTCATAGAAATGGCCCTAGGTTCTTCTACCATGTGAATTCACTATAGCACCTACACTGCCTCCTCGGGAACCTCCGTAAATACCCTAATGCTGACTTTCGTTCTCTAGTTTGAGGGGCTACTATTTCTACTAGTCTCACTGCAGGAGGAGCTGGTAAGGCCAATCTAGTGCTAGGTCAATCTTTAGACTAATGTCAAAAATCCCTACACGTGAAACAACCATGTGATAATCTGGTCCCTACTAGAGGTCAACCACCAGACCTGATGAATATTTCTGACACCTTTCTGGCTCCTAACTCGGACAAACAATATAACAGTCGTTGTTATGTTGGTTACCCTCTAATAACTACAATAGAAATGATTAGAACCTCTAATGAACATGGTCCTGAGTATCCATAGGACTAGGACAGGCCCAACTAAATATGTCATCCTTCCTGGCCCTCTTGTCGTTGTCCCCATGGGCCTCACGACAGAGCTACTCTAATGTGCAGCATTTCCCACTACATCCTGAAAAGAGTCGCCCACTAAAACTATAAACTATGACTCAATACAGTAGCAACCTCAATTCGTTAACGAAGAACTTGGCACTCTCCTCCTTTGTGGGAAAGATCATTGTGGGATGATGGGATAACTCATGAAATCTAGCGCTATACTCAGATATCGTCATAGAGTCCTGCTCCAACCTCGATAATTTATCACAGAGTCAATCTTTAATGCTCCATGTGATAAATCTAGATAGAAAAAGATTCATAAAAATCTATCTAGGTTATTAGAGGCGACCCATATGGTATGGTCTTACTGAAAAAATGCTTCCACTGATTGGACGACCCATCTAACAGATAAGTTGTAAAGTCAGCTCCCGTCAACTCCACCAACCCAAATATTTGCATTCGACTCCACCAACAACAAAGTCTTCAGTCGCTCCTGACAAGTAGTAAGGAAGTCCTTGTCTTCCTCGCAAAAGGGCCAAGAAAATCTCGGTGGTGATACTCTAAAAAACACCCCAAGCATCTTTTGTTCCCTTAATGGCATAACTCCGTCTAAAACATCCGGTTGAACAGCAGCAGGTGCGGGTGACTACTGAACCTCATGGCCACTACAACATCTTGACCTAATGGTATCGGAGTCGGCTCCAAAATTTGTGTCGGAGCTTGCTCTTGCTGAATGCCACCAATAGTTGGTGCATGTGGTGGCTGGGCTAGTACAGGCCCTACCGAGTAGGGAGGAATCTTGTTTAACTATTGGTATGCCTATGGATATGGGGTACTCCTTCTTTAGAGTTGGTTCTTCAGCGACCTCAGGGTCGACCTCTAATGCACGTTTGAGCCATCCAATCATACCATGAAAAAATTAATATTCCCTAGAAAACAAAGTGACAAAATGATACAAAATAGGAGAACTTCCTAAGTAACTCTTGTACCCTTTTGATGATGATTCACAGATGTCTTCATGCCTATCTTCAGGACTCTACTATATGTTAGCTCTAGACTATTGAGACTGGAGAACCTACTTGAAGCTCAATCTAAAGGAAACTAAGTTGTAGCCGGCTTAAAGGCTGATCATGCATCTTCGAAGATACTCTTCCAAAAGTTTTCCTTTACGAACGGCCTTGGTATGGTGCCACACTACCAAAAAAAGAATCATTTACACTCATTTACTAAAATCATCAAAATTAGTGAAAGACTAATTTTTGAGCAAAAATTAGGCAATATGGGACCCGATCGGTAATTTCAAGAATTAACTCTTGAAGAGGAGCTAAAACCTCCCCAAATCTTGGGTCCAAAATAACGAACCTCACTAGACTTGGAAAAACTCCATCCAACAAAAAAAAGCAAGGCTTTACACAAAAATAGACTTAGGGGATCCACTTAAAATGATGATACACCACAATTAGAGATTTTCTGACACGCTACAAATGCCACCTGTACAAATAATTCAAAGCGGAACACATCAGACTTCGATCGTCCAAAACAGAGCTCTACAACAAATATCAACGTGTCAAAATAAGGCTGAATCTAATTTTTTCGATAGAAATAACAAATGTTTTGGTCACTAAATGCAAAATCTATTTTCCAAAAGATTAAATTCTCATCTCTAAATATCTGCACTTGCAACACAAGATCTATTATATTTTTATTAGAAGTCTCTAAATAGACCCTCGAATTCGTTCAAGACGTAATTAAAATAAACCACATATTCTACCCCACTCAATAACACTGTTGGAATTTCCATAAAAGTCAATTTTGACAAAAAATGGTCCCCACACTCAAATGCCAGTTTAGCCAATATCCACAACGGGCCTTGAAATAAGATCAGAAGATTTCAAAAAGATTATGAAAAGTCATTATAGACCAAATTCAACATTTAAAAACTAACTTCCCTTGCAGAATTCTCATACAAGTGAGTTTCACAAAAATGTTAACCAAAGTCAAAGTTTGAAGGTTAAAGTCCAAGATGTCCTTAAAGTCACACGGTAAGGCTCGGGACTCGTGCCAACCATGCTACCAACCTAATTTGGCCATTCTAGAGCTGATGCAACCTTGAAATTGCCATCTGATGTCATTTACCTAAGGTTATGACTTAAATAAACATTTCAAGTTTCAAAAGCTCTAAAAAACAGGCATAAAACCAAAATGAATGACTCGACGATTGAATAGTCAGTGCCAACAACTAATAAAATTACTTGTGGTTGCTAGAGGAACACTCTAAATGATGGAAAGATTGCATAAACATAGAAATGACCTGGAGGGTCATTACATTACTGCACAAGAAGCATCATATTGAGAACAAGATATACAATGCATAATATCCTTAATGATGCTATAGATAGAAGGTATCAAATACTCCTACATTATAGAAGCACGGATTTGGCTCCAAAACATGCCAACAAAATCTATCACCACATGGGATGCGTTTGTCAATGTATTCTTAGTGGTTTTGTGTCCCTCTAAGTGACAGCTTCAATTGTCAAATAAAATGAGAAGCAGATCAAGTGATCATTAATATGGCCACAAACAAAGAACTATTGACTAAGATTAGGCACAGAGTTTAAGAAATAAAAAAGAATTTTGAAACTTCTTATATAAAGTAAGATATATAAACTTTGTGGCTATAAAGTAAATCAAAAATAAGTTAAATTGTTACTAAATATGGAAAGATGTCATTTTTATGGGAATGACAAAAAAGGAAAGACTATCACATAAATAGGGATAGAAGTAAAATCTTACTAGCAACTGTTTTAAATTTCAGGTCTAGCAGTAGTAAAATGGAAAAGTCAGCGATTTTGTTATATTTGTGGTATCTCTTTTGTCTTGCTTTGAATTATCACTAGCATTTCTTTTTAATTTTTTATTATGAAACAATATTCCTCTAATCAGATTGATCGAGAGCGTGGGGGAGAGAAATTTGACAGAGCTCTACTAAAGAATGTGCTAGATATATTTGTTGAAATTTGAATGGGGTCAATGGATTATTATGAGAATGATTTTAAAGCTTCAATGCTCGAGGACACTGCAGCTAATTATTCTTGCAAAGATTCTAACTTCACATGAATCTTAAAGAATCCAATTATACGTTGTTTCATCGAGCATTGTAACTTCAAAATCATTGTCATAATAATCCATTGACCACTCTCCAACTTCAACAATTATATATAGCACATTCTTTAGTAGAGCTCTGCCAATTTTTTCTCCCTCACACTCTTCATCAATCTGGTCTAAGGAGTATTGTTGATCACTAGCAAGATAAAAATAAATAGTAGTGACAACTCAAAGCAAGACAAAAGGGATACCAAATATATAATATCTCTGGCTTTTCCATTCTTCTTTTAGTATATTTTAAATAGGAAAAAGTTGCCGGTAAGATATTTCTTGTGACCCAATTTTTGTGGTACTTTTTATATTTAAGTCATTCCCCAAAAATGGACATCTTTCCATATTTAGTAAAGATTTAGGTTCGAATTTCTTATTTTACCTTATATCCTTAAAGTGTCAATAGTTTAGTTTATACCTAAATTTTCAAAATTCCTTTCTCTTTTTCTTTTAATCAAAACTATATTCTATGGTCATCTATTAAAACATATCCACCTAAGTTCAGCTCGTGACTTTGATATTGATTTTTGTAACTATGTTTTCTTTGTTTTCCCTCTTCTAGAATTTGTTTTTCAGTTTGACACTATACTCAACTGTTGCCACATCCTATGAAAAATGATCTAAAATCGGTTAAAACAATCAAATATGAGCAAGTTATCACGACTAAATTATGCCTAGCACATGATGAAAAGTTTAGAGGCTCCTCCGATGCAGTCGATAAAAAAATTATGTGAACGATGCTCTGAACGAATATCAATGATACAGTTTCAAAGGTTAGAATATCTTAGTCAATACATATCACAACCCCAAGATTAGCATAACCAAGGGACTGGGTAGTAAAACTAAGGTAACTGTAGTCAAGGTTAATAGGGAAACAACAATAACTTTTGAAATAAAAGTGAAAATTTTTGCTTACCTCCTAGAGGGAAGATATGTAAAATTCTTTACATAACTAAGAGAGGACATATACAAAAGTTTGCACCATATCTATGATGTTAAGCGCCCATACTGCCTCTATCCAAAACCATGAAATGGAAATGAGAGACATCATAGGGGAGAAAAAACTCCTCACATGGCAACTTTCAAGAAACACTATTGAGTATCTATCTCATTTCACGAAAATAATCACTTAGAAAAGAAGGTTTCTCCAAAAAGAAGTAGAAAAAGTTTAAGTTGTTGAAAAGACTATACTTATGATTACCAAGAAAAAGGTATCCCACAAAGAAGATATAAAACTCGTTGTGTTTTCTCTATTGCTTATGCAGATGAAGTAAAAAAGAAGGAAAATTTGACACTTTTTACCATTGGAAATCATGAGTTTGCTAGTGTCTTGTGTGATAAATAGGAATAACATCGACTTGATTCATTTGGCTATTCATAAACATTTCTGTCTATGTAAGACATAATTCAATCATGTTTAGTGATATTATATGACATAAAAATCATATGTTCTTAAATACGGTATAAGGGATGATCTTCTTGATTTTCTTTTTAAGTAGTTTTACAATAAAGACTAGCTGTTTGGAAAATTTAATGTAGTAATTTATTGGGAAAGTAGTATTGGAATGATTTGGATCATTCATGGTTCTATTTTCCTTTATTATTTTGCATCTATTTTCCCCCCTTCTTCTTGTTTTTCCGCCACCCAATTACTTGTGCATTAACATAAAAATAAATAAAATCTTGTAAGTACCACATAATAGATAGCTCCATTAAATGGATTAAGTCATAATTGAACTACATGGTTGTGGGATTCACAAGTTTCCATAGAAAAACATTAATACTATTCCTTATCAACAAGACTAGAATGAAGAATTTTAATTAGCTACATTAGATGCAAACTATATTTAAAGAGAGTACATGAAGATCAAAGACCTGTTCAGGAAAAATCTAGTGCATTTCCTCCCCTCTATAACATAAATCAACTTTCAAGCAGTGTCGAAAGAATGAAATCAGTAGATACTTAGTTCATTATTAGCATTTGAGAAAAGTACCTCATTTTATAAACTTTCACGACAGTTTCTCAAACATGGATGAAGGTTTTCAATTTAATCATAATTTTTTTATCTTTTGACTATTTTGCGAATGGATTTTGTAGTCCTTCCCTTAATCCTTACAAGCAAGAAACGATACTGAAGGACTAAAGACTCTATTTCCAGAACAGTCTAGACAAAAAAAAAGATTTATGATTAGATTGAAATACACATATGTTGTTCAATAAACGTATCCTACAATTTACGAAATGAAGTATTTTCTTGTGTGATAATAATAGACTATCTATTTTATAATATCATTCTTTAGACACTGCTTAGAACAATAAAATAATGATTTAGAGCATTACAACATGTCTATTATCAACATAACTAATCTTTTTTCCCTCTTGTAATTTAGTTTTGAGGTAATATAGGTAATTAAGATTCTTTATCGCATTTTCTACCGATAATAAACTATTGTAAAGTCATCTTTTGGATACTTGTGAATCTCACTGCCATGTTGTTCAGTCATGTTATCATCCGATTCATCGGATCTATCTATTTATGTTGTACTCCCATGCTTTCTTTTTCTTTATAATGAATAGATATAGAGCTACTAGAAAAGCAAGAAGAAGGGAGAAAAATAATTCCATAACCGTAACGGTGGAGAGAGAACTATGTGAGACTCAAATCATTCTAATATAAATTTACTTATAAATTTTTTACCCAACTAAAGAAAATTCTTCAAAAATTTCAATATTCATAATGAATTTAGTTGAAAAAAAGAGAATATTACATTTATAGTGTATTTGTGGACATATTATTTATTGAGTAATGAAATACCTCTGAGCATGATTTATTTTTCCATCTTCCTTTTTTTAAGACCACTGAATCTGTCAACTCACTGAAATACTTTTGTTAGTGCAATAACCTAGTAATAGACAACAAACAAAATATAAACATCATCGTATCATATCATATCACTATATCATATATTACTATAATTGAGACACTAAAAAGATGAAAAAATTGATTACCAATTTATCCCTAGTCTATATTAGACATCTAATAAGTAAATATTAAATAATAATATTTTAATTATTTATTGAATTGTAGGTTATTTATTAGAAAGTCAATGAAAGAATTAATAATTAAATTGTAATTTACAATAAATTGTTTTTTAATTTACCAATTCAATTATCTAGGAAAATCAAAGGTTTCTTTGAGAATTAATTGATACTTCAAAATAAGTCGGTTAGTATTACTAGACTTAAAACATGTAAGTTGTAACAATGAAATTATATCACATTTATGATTTATATGTTTAGATAATAGTGTATGTATATTTACTTGCTATTCATAATTAACATCTAAGTTAGCTGAAATGTATTTTCTTTTAAATATTATTGATTATGCATATGATTCTTTATATAATACATACAACATTTTTAGGAAGAGGGGGACTACTAGCAATTAATTTCTATTTTTAACCTTCATTTATTTCATTAATATTACTTATTAGAAGGAGGTTGACAACTTTTCGTTTCACTCTACCCCTGAGATAAAAAATACAGATTCTCAATTAAAAATAAATAGACTCAAATGAAGATGAAAAATATATATCCTTCAAACAAAAGAAAGTAGACTCAAATAAAGATGAAACTCACAAATCCACAAATAGAAATAAAATAGTCTCAAATAAAGTAAAAAAAACACAAGTTGATCCACTAAAAAGAAACTAGACTAAATCAAGTTCAAAAATAGAGATCCAATAATTAAAATGAAAGTAGACTCAAATTAAGTTGAAAAATACATATCCATGAATTAAAAGGAATCTAGAATCAAATCAAGCTGAAAATCAAGTTGAAAAATATTGATCCAGCTGTTAAAAGAAACTAGACTCAAATCAAGCTGAATATATACATGTCCAGCAATTAAAGAGAAAATATATTCAAATCAAGCTGAAAAGAACAATTCCATCAATTAAAAACAGAAGACTCAAATAAATTTAAAAAAACATAGACCCATTAGTTAAAAACAAAGTAGACTCAAATCGAGACTCAAATCGAGACTCAAATCATGCTGAGAAACACATATCCATTACTTAATAAGAAACTACACTCAAATCAAGCTGAAAAACACAAATTCATCATTAAAAAAGAAACTAGACTCAAATCAATCTAAAACAAAACCCAGATCAATCAATAAAAAAGAAACAATACTCATATCAAACGAAAAAACATAAAACTATCAATAAAAAAAGAATATAGACTTAAAGTAGGCTGCAAAAATACAGATCATCAATTAAATAGGAAATAGACTTGAATCATGTTGAAAAACACAGATCCATCAATTAAAAAGAAACTAGACTCATATCAAACAATGAATGAATAGAAACACTTACATCAAGCTAACCATAGGCACCCAAGACGACAATCCTCGGCTTACTCATAGAGAAACACAACAAATTGATCCGAAGAACTAATCATCTAGATAGAAAAAAGGAATTAACAGATGCCCCTTTTAATCCAGAAGCATACAAATCTTACTTCAACAAGCTGAGAAATAATGACATACACCAAAGAGGGACATGAATGTTGATCATCAAAAGAATAATATGAACCAGACTGATATTGTGGAATCTCATCACCGTCGACTTATTTAGTAGGGAGAGGAAGTTATAAAATGAAATGATGAACCCTCTATTGACAACCCTAGTAATATAGTAGTTGATATAACAAAGGCCTCTATTTTGGACTGGGCCTATTTATCTTGCCCATTTTATCTTTTGTGTCTTGCATTCATTATGTTTCTTTGTTTTGGGCTTGATAGAGCCTGAAAAAATATTTTTGTGATGATTTTTAGTCCAAGCCCCTTGTGAAACTATTGAAAAACACATTGTGGAATCAATAGTTATCCCCAATTAGCCTTAAAGATAGAAAAAGTAAAGTAGGAAATATAAATCTTTAAATGTTGTTCAAGAATAAATCATACTTTTTCAATAATATAGCTAGTCTACATGTTAACTCTCTTTATTAAATAACATTCATTATAAGAAAATTTGTGGACGTAAATTTATCAACAACGCCAAACTATAAGAATTTATTTATTACCGAAGATATTAATAAGTTTTTCTAATTAAACTATTGTTGCCAATCTGTGTTAAGAAAACCAGAAATTACTAGTTGTAATAAATCATTAAGAAACACAAAGTAACTGAGATTTTTAGAACTAGTAAATAAGATGAACAGAAATTTATTTGTAAAAATACTTTAATCTATAAAACTTACCAGAATCTTGAATACTCTTTTTGATAATTTAGGAAGAAAATCAAGTCCACTGAATTCACAGTGTCCCCTTAAGGAAATTATTCCGCTCTAGTATCCGAGGTTTGATTTGGAATATAACCTCCCAGGGTAAAATGATTTTAATCAGTAGAGTATAGATACCAAAAATTCTACTGTCAGCGAATCAATCCACAACATGAAAGTACAAGAAGAAAAAAATGTGTTTATTAAGAAGTAGGAAGATCAGAAAATTCGTTAGTAAATATTCTGAAGACTGAATGGTATTTATAGGCAAGAATAATATATTCTAAAAGGTTGACACAACCCTTAATGAAAGGTTGCAAACTTTCAAATTGTATTGACTGTTCCTAAAAGTTGCAACCTTTCAGTACACTGGCGGGAATTTATAAATATAACGGAATTTAAAACGGATCAAAAAATTATCTCTTGATCGATCATTTGCCAAAGCCAAAGTCAAAGCCGAACCGAGCGAGCGACGACGATGACGGCGCGAGGGGGGTCCCTCTTTCAACCCTTTTAATAATTAATAGGAGTGTTTATTTATTTAAACTCTCCTATTTTCATTTCCATTACCGATGAGGGACTATTGCCTTCTTTATTAAAGCATTAGAGGACTTTTCAAGTTCCCAACCTTTCAAGTTCTAAACTTTTGAAATTCCTCTCCTTCACTCTATTTTCCATCAATTCTTGCTACATACCCAACAATCCCCCACATTGATGGGGAATAGTTAAAACATAGGAATGCACGGACAATTGTGTACTTTACAAGCAAGGATTAATTGCATCTGGATAAGTAGGTTTCCCCTTGGACTTTCCGTAGTAAATATATGTCGGATATACTCGGTCAATCGGTAGATGTGATATCTTTGAACCGTCGAACTTTGGTGTATACCTAGACAACCATATGTCACACAATTAACCCTTTACTGTTTATGATTCTTACGTTTGTGTTCGTTTCAGCCATGAACACCTCCTGGTTTCATGAGTGTATAGAGAATAGGCTTTTGACATAAAATTCTCTTTGAAGCGGCTTCCACTTCACACTCACGTAGGTGATTTTTAACCATGTCATCTCGTAGATACACTATTTGTTCAAATCTACCAAACTTAGCAAATCATTAAAAAAAATTTTAAGTTTTATTACCTCAATAACAAGCCTTAAAGTCTTAACCTTTTCCTGAACATTGTCTTCATCATGAGAATGGATAGAGTTAATTGACAATGTCGAACCGTCATCCACAACTTTATTTTTCTCCTTGAATCTAGCTCTTGGGATCTCCAGTCCGCTAGATAGAGTTACCGTCATGCTGACTTGTCCTAAGTCGTAAACCCATTCCCTTAGATGATCTTTCAACTGCCTCTCTCACTAGGCCTTTCGTTAGTGGATCTGACACATTATCGCTTGACTTTACATAGTCAATTGTGATAATTCCACTAGAGAGCAGTTGTCTTATGGTGTTATGTCTACGTCGTATATGACGAGACTTCCCGTTGTATATAACGCTCCGTGCCCTACCTATTGCTGCTTGACTATCGCAATGTATGCAAATTGGTCCAACAGGTTTTGGCCAGAATGGAATATCCTCTAGGAAATTACGGAGCCATTCTGCTTCTTCACCAGCCTTATCCAAAGCAATGAATTAAGATTCCATTGTGGAGCGAGCAATACATGTCTATTTGGAAGATTTCCAAAAGACAGCTCCTCCACCAAGTATGAATACATAACCACTCGCGGATTTTACATCATTTGACCCGTTGATCCAATTTGCATCACTATATCCTTCAATCACAACAGGATATTTATTATAATGCAAAGCATAATGTTGTGTCCATTTTAAATAACCCAACAGACGTTTCATAGCCATCTAGTGAGTTTGATTCGGATTACTAGTGCACCGACTCAGTTTACTAATAGCACATGCTATATCTGGTCGTGTGCAATTCATAATATACATCAAACCTCCCAACACTCTGGTATATTCCCATTGAGAGTCACTTTGACCTTCATTCTTTTTAAATGTACAACTTAAATCAATTGGAGTTTTGACTACATTGAAATTCAAGTAATTGAACTTATCCAATACTTTTCCAATATAATGAGATTGAGATAATGCTAGTCCCTGGGGAGTTTTGATAATCCTGACCCTAAGATCAAATCAGCAACTCCTAAGTCTTTCATATCGAACTTGCTGGACAACATGCGCATAGTAGCATTTATATCGTCAATTTCTTTACTCATTATTAACATGTCATCAACATACAAACAAACAATGACTTCATGATTCATAACGTTTTTAATGTAAACACATTTATCACATTCGTTAATCTTGAATCCATTTGCCAACATTACTTGATCAAATTTAGCATGCCATTGTTTGGGTGCTTGCTTGAGTCCATAAAGTGACTTCACAAGTCTGCACACTTTCTTTTCTTTACAAGGAACTATAAACCCTTCAGGTTGTTCCATGTAAATTTCTTCCTCTAACTCTCCATTTAAGAAGGTTGTCTTTACATCCATTTGGTGGATTTTAAGATCATGCACTGCTGCTAGTACTATTAACATCCTAATTGATGTTATCCTTGTTACTGTAGAGTATGTGTCAAAGTATTCCAGACCTTCCTTTTGTCTATACCCTTTGACTACCAGTCTAGCCTTATATTTGTCAATAGTCCCATCAGGTTTCATTTTCCTTTTAAAGATCCATTTTGATCCTAAAGGTTTATTTCCTGGAGGAAGATCAGTCAATTCCCAAGTGTGATTGCTTAAAATTGATTCAATCTCACTATTGACTGCTTCTTTCTAATAAGTTGACTCTGACGAAGACATAGCTGCTTTAAATGTTTGAGGCTCACTTTCAAGCAATAATGCTACAAAATCTGGTCCGAAAGAAACAGATTTTCGTTGTCGAGTACTTCACCTAGGTTCCTCACTAGTTAGAATATTTTCCATTGATTCTTCTTGTGGTCGTTTAGGTCTTTCACTTGTTGACTCACTTTCAGTTTTATACGGATAAATGTTTTCAAAAAAACTCTGTATTATCTGATTCAATTATTGTATTAACATGAATCTCAGGATTATTAGATTTGTGAACCAAAAATCGACAGGCTTTACTATTCACAGCATACCCAATAAAGACACAATCTATTGTTTTGGGTCAAACTTTAACCCTCTTAGGTAAAGGAACCTCCACCTTGGCTAAACACCCCCACACTTTAACAAATATTTCAAGTTGGATTTTCTTCCTTTCCACAACTCATATGGAATTGATTGTGTTTTTCGATGGGGTACTCTATTGAGTATTTTATTAGTTGTAAGGATGGCTTCCCCCCAAAGATTTCGCAATGAACCAGAATTGATCATTAAGGCATTCATCATTTCCTTTAATGTTCAGTTCTTCCGTTCTGCCAAACCATTTGACTGTGGTGTATAAGGTGCAGTAGTTTGATGAATAATACCATATTCCGACCATATCTCTGCAAAAGGAGATTCATATTCTCCACCCCTATCACTCCGAATCATTTTTATCTTTAGATTCAATTGGTTTTCCACTTCATTTTTGTATTGCTTAAATACATAAATTGCTTCATCCTTACTATTAAGCAAATATACATAACAAAATCGAGTGCAGTCATCAATAAAAGTTATAAAATACTTTTTCCCACCACGAGATCGTGTTGACTTCATATCGCATATATCTATGTGAATTAAGTTTAAAGTTTTAGAATTTCTTTCAACAAACTTGTAAGGATGTTTAACAAACTTAGTTTCCACACAAATTTCACATTTCGACTTATCGTATTTAAGATCAGGCAATACTTCTAGAATAACCAATTTTCGCAAGGCTTTATAATTTATATGTCCCATACGGGCATGCCATAAATCACTTAACTCCAATAAGTAAATTGAAGCAGAATTTTTATTAATACTGTCAATAACCATTACATTTAGTTTGAAAAGACCCTCATTGAGGTAGCCCTCTCCTATAAACATTTCAGTCTTACTTATTACAGCTTTATCAGTAACTAGGACACACTTAAACCCGTTCTTAATGAGTAGTGCAGCAGAAACTAAATTCTTCCTAATAGTAGGGACATGCAGAACATTGTTTAAAGTCAACACTTTGCCGGATGTCATTTTCAGCATTACTTTCCCAGTTCCTTCAATCCTTGATGTTGCTGTGTTTCCCATGAATAAATCTTCATCGTACTCAGCACGAGTGTACGTTGCAAAGGCTTCTTTTGCAGAGCAAATATGTCTAGTAGCACCAGAGTCGAGAAACCACTCCTTGGGATTTCCAACTAAGTTACACTCTGATATCATTGCACACAAGTCATCTGCATCTTCCATCTTTTGCACGATGTTTGCTTG